AAATCAAGGAAACCTGGGGCCAGGAATTGCTGGGCTGAACCCACTGTGGTAGCTGTGATGCCCTTAATCCCGGAAAATTCACTCAGCTGCTTTCAAAACCAACTGGACAAACCCAGAAAACAGCCTGTCTAGCCCTTGAATGCCTTTGAGAAGGACTCTAAGATTCTGAAGAAGGGGAAATGCGTCTTGTGAAGAGAAAAGCAGGAGTCCTTTTGGGAAATGAAACTAAATTTCTTTCGTTTGTTCTCTGAGCGCTGAGCCGGGGACAGCAGCACCTCAGAGATTCAGGCTGAACCACATCCCTTAGCAGCAACTCCGTTTCTCACAGGCAGCCTGGGGGCAAGGCAGTGCAGCTCTGTCCCGCTCCAAGAGAACTCACCCTCCAGCAGCCAGAAGCCTAGTGGGGGGTGGCATCCCCAGTGACATGCCCGTCACCTCCGACAGGTGTCCTTGTGCAGCCCATCACACAGCCAGCATCAGCCCCTTCCCAGAACACCTTGGTCACAGCCCCTTTGGGGTCTTCGGCTGCGGCTAAGGGCTGGGGGCCATGGGAGTAAGGTGGATGGGGAGAAGACGCAGAAAACAAGGGCCCTAGACCATGTTTCAATTTTGTATTTAATTTTATAAAACTAACAGTAGAAACTATGGAGTCCCCTCAGAGATGCCTGCATCGCATCCCTGCCCTGCTTCTCCTCCTCCATAGATTACCATTTTTACTCGTTTTTTGATTTATCCTATTGAAAAAAATCCACCCATATCTCTCTTTTATTATATTCATGCATAGATACTATTCTTCTCCTTACTTCCTTCATGTCGCAGTGTCTCCTGGGGAAGTGTGTAGAGATGGCTTTTTGTCTTCTGCCGCACTGTGTGATGAGCCATCGTTATTTTGACCACTCCCTGTCGGCCAACATTAGGGTTATTTCTAGTCCTCAGTTACTCCAAATAATGCTGCAATGACCAAATATCTTTGTACATGCATGATATATTTTTGCCGATGTGTCTTTGTGAACTTTCCCGTTTGGAAGGAGGGAGCTGATTCTTTCCTTGTCAGTTGCCAGTAACCTTTTCTATGGCTGGGGACCAGGTGACTTCTTCTCTGCATCAAGCCTAGACTTTCAGCCCTCACCCTAACTGTGTGGATTTCCTGCAATTCATCAATTTCCTCTCTCCCCAACAGGAGGGGTCCTGGCAAGATGAGCATGCAGGGAGTAACCGTAAGTGTTTCTAATACACTTTTGTTAAGCTGGATTAGTACAGTAGGAATAGATATTTGATATACGCCAAGCAATTTGGGGTGACTTGGGAGAAGGTTTACAAATTAGTGGAGAATTCAGTTCTCCTAATTCAGCAAGCCACTGAACGCCTGGATTATACCAGGCCATGGTGGGGATGGAGAGAGGGTGGTTTCTACTCCTAAAGCCCAGCAGAGCCGCACAGCAGAGTCTGGGGAACACAGAGCTGCTCTCCCTCCACCCGCAGAATGAGGTCACCCTCTGCGGGAGGGAAGGAACCCTTGGCGTGCAGAAGCACTCAGGCCAGCAGCGACGGAGCAGAATGTTGAGTCTGAGGGAATGTCTTCTTCTGTGGAGCAGTGTGGTTCCAGATACTGCTTGTATTTTTCAGAGGGAGAGAGGCGGGCAGAGACTTGGCAACAGTGTGTTTAATGCTCTGAATTCTTGCCCAGAAACCATGACCCTGAAAAATATTTCAGAATCTGTCACTGGGCTAAACTGCTTACAAACAAGCAGGTTTTTGGTATTCTCTCTGTGATGTGTCCATTCCTCTTTTTTTTTTCCTGGAAATTAAAACTTCAGAATCCAACACCCCCCACTTTCCTAGGCATCTTTGTCTTTCTGATGGGGAGGTTGCATGATAGGTTGCCGACAAGAGTTACCACCCCTGAGCTCTTGTCACGTGCAAGGCGCTGTTCCAAGAGCTTTGTAGGACTTAATCTCCTCTAATCTTCCAGTCACCTGGAGATGGGGAACACCATATTCTCATTTAGTGATGAGGAAACTGGGACCCAAGAGGTCTAGTCCTTTGCTGAAGGTCACGCAGCTAGAATGGAGAGGAGCTCGGATTTGAACCCAGGACGTACCCTCTGAAGTCCTGGCTCGACCTCTGTGTAGCTACAAGAGCTCAGACAGTGGTTTCACTTCTCTGAAAACTAAGCATGTTTCCTTCAGTTTTGAAGGAAATTCTGTCATTTCAAAGTATAGACCTGGCTTCCCTGAAGGGTTACATTCTCCCACGGTGAAGAGGAATTTACAGGTGCATAGGACTGCAGTGGGGATCCCTTTTAGTAGGTTCTCTGGTCTGGGGATCCAGACTTGTCAGTCCGAGCTGAACACCCAGGACTGACCCTTAACTGAGACGAGGGCAGAGCTTCCTGAATTCTACTGAAAACCTGCCAGGCATGCATGGGAGCAGAAAGGCTTCAAGTTACATTTTCCCGTTAATGTCATCTGACAACTCAACTTTGGCTTCCTCTCTACAAGGGATTCTCATCCAGAGGAACCAGGGAGTCTGCAGGCACCCTTCAAAGCAGTACGGTCCTCAGCCAGTGCCAAAGGCATGACTAAGTGCATCCCAGGGCTCTGCCCAGATTGGGTTGCTGGGTCTTTTTTTTCCCCTTTCTTTCTATTTGGTGTCTGCCCAGCCTCTCTCTAGCCAGTGACATAAATGCTGACTCAACCCAATCAAGCTTTTTACCAGGAATGCTTGAGGTGATTCCAAACTAGCCTCTGCAAGGAAATCTGTAATCCAAGTGTTTGGGGAAAGATATGTGAAGAGTCTGAATACTTGTCTTTCTAGGTGGCAGAGCAACCCCGGTCTCCACGGAGATGTCAGGAGCATCTGTTGACACTGTAACATCTGAAACCAACACAAAGGTTTGGACTGTTCCTTCAGGTCTTCTCCAGCTAGGGTCCAGCCATTAAGGACTTTGTGGGCTCTGATTTTTGTTTCTTTCTTGGTTCTTCTTCCTCTGTCTGTGATTATCTCTGTCCTTTTCATCTTTTTCTGTAATAATCAGAAGGTGTCCTGATTTTTGGCTGTGGAGGTAATGTCATCGCCCTTTCAGTCACACCCTTTGAATTATTTCCACAGAGGGGAATTTCTTCCTTCCTTCCTTCCTTCCTTCCTTCCTTACTTCCTTCCTTCCTTCCTTTCTTTCTCTCTTTCTTTCTTTCTTTTTCTTTTTCTTTTTCTTTTCCTTCCTTCCTTCCTTCCTTCCTTACATACTTACTTCCTTACTTCCTTCCTTCCTTTCTCTCTTTCTCTCTTCTTCCTTTTTCTTTCCTTCCTACCTTCTTCCTTC